GGCCGTCCCTTCTTCCTCAGGGTCCGGAGGTGGCCATTGCCTCTGTCTGTCTGTCTGTCTGTCTCTCTGTGGTTTGTGCTCTCCTTTCCCTCAGTGTTGCCCTTCCACAACCGCCCTGCCAGGTAGGGCCAAAGGGAAAAGCAGCCAAACCGCACAGAGGCTGGGGCGGGCGGGTGGAGTTAGGACTCGAACCCAGAGCACCCCAGGTTGGGCAGCTGTGTAACTCCTGGATGCTTGTGGGGCAGGGAGGTTTGCCTCCAGGGGTGGTCAGGAGGCCACAAAAGAGCATCTCTGGGAGGGTTGTTGGGCCAGAGGTCCGGAGAGTCGCCCCCAGACTCCCCCAGCCAGCCTTGGACCAAAGAAAGAGTGGCTGGCAGGCCAAAGGGCGGCTTCCAAGCCTTCGCCTCCTGATGGCCAGGAGGGGGGGGGCTGCAAAAGCACTTCCACCTCCTGCCCGCTCAGAAGTGACCCCCAAAGCCAGCGAGTCTGAAGTTTGCAAGGAAGGCCAGGCCTCCTCCGTCCCATGGCAGGCTCTTGGCCGGAGAAGACAGGAGGGCCAGGACGCGCGCAGCCTGTACGTGAAGGTGGATGGGCCGAAGCAGGCCAGGCTCTGTGGCTGGGATAGTCCCTGTCGTAGAGGTTGCTGGGGGGGGCGGCTTGGGGCCAGGTTGCAAGCACTTTGGCCTGGCCTGCTCGGGATGCCTTTGCTACTACACCATCTGCAGGCTTTCCTTCCTGAAAAGGTGGGCTGGGGACGCAAGGGTCGTTTGGCTGGAAAAGGCAAGGACTAGTTGGCGCTAGGGGCAGGCGAGCCTGCCTTGCTGGCTGTCTCTGTTTAATCCGAGCCTCGGTGAGGGCGTAGAGTCTTCGAGGAGTACCGAGCACCTGTGGGTTAGTTAGCTGCAGTGCAGTTTGTGGAGAGGAACCCTGCCAGAGTAGGCTGAAATGAGGTAGTGGTTGGTGGAGCGGAGCTTCCTCCTTGCCTAGGAGGACGCCGGTGACAGGATGGAAGCTGAACGTATAGATGATGGTTGGTTTTGGTGGGAAAAAAACTCTTACTCTCAACGCTGCTAATACAACAACATTTTTAAGGTACTGGATTTTGCTTTTTGAAAATTATATTCAGGGTCTTAAGTAGAATGTACACCAAAAACACTATGTAATATGCACTTTATGTGCTTTATCACAGGAACCTTCTTTGTCTCGCTGTTTTGTGTGTGTGTGTCCATCCCCGTGGAAAGACTTTATATATTATGGTGCCTTGTTGCTGCCTTTTCTGAAACCTCTTCCATTCTTCCCCACTTTTCCTGAGAGAGAGAGAGAGAGAGAGAGAGAGAAAATGTGGAAGACATTCTGCAGGAGCAACAAGGCTGTCTAGAAAGGGAGCTTTAAAACTGAGCAGGAAAGGGCCTTCAGTCAAAGCTCACTGCAGTTGTAGAGTGCCCAGCATGTGTTGCCTGTCAGTGCAGAAAGGGAAGTTGGTTTATACTCCTGTATTTCAGGTTCTGTTTGCAAGGTGAGATTTAGTAAAGCAGGCTGAGCTTCAGATGTGGGTTGGGCTCTTGTGTTCAATAGAACTGAAGATTTGACAGCTAGTTAGGCATCCTTCAGTCTCAAAAGACTATGGTAACGTGCTCTGTATGGAGGACTTGGAACAGCATCTAGTGTGGCTGAGGAGGCCAATTCGGGAGCGACCATCCCTTCCACACTGAAGACAAATCCAATCTGTCCCCTGTCCAGCTCCCTGGTTTTGCTGCTTTCGCGACTGCCTCTTTGCCTCAGCCTGCTGTGCAAGGGTCTCTTCACATTGGGAGAGGCCGTGATGCAGTGCCTGCCTCCAGGCTGAACGCTCAGATGTCAGGGTTTCCCATCTGTTGAGGTCCATTCCTAAGGCCTTCAGATCTCACTTGCAGATGTCCTTGTATCGCAGCTGTGGTCTCCCTCTGGGGCGCTTTCCCTGCACTAATTCTCCATACAGGAGATCCTTTGGAATCCGACCATCAGCCAGCAGCTGCTTGCTAAATATCACAAAGGCCCTGGTCTGCACAGTGCCTGATCTTCCTGAACCATATGTAAGTGACAGCTCCATTAGTTCCAAGGCTCAATATGGAAAGGAACTTTGTTGTTTATACAGGAAAGGAACAGGACCTTCTGAGGAGAGCCAGCAGTGTCTGAAGAGCCCCAGACTTAAACTCTGTGCCATAAGTGAGTTCCAGGTTGAAAGAATGCAGTCTAAAGAAAAAGTATATAAGGATCCCTGAGGCAAGACTGCAATTATGAAATAATTCATTAAGCCAGATAGGCTTTGTGGCTAAAGACTGCCTAGAAAGGTAAATCAGAGTTTTAAGAGATGACAGTTAGAAGGTAGCTTTAAGACAGGGCTCAATTGTCTGCTTCCTGCTGTGACAGGGCAGTTTAGAGAGTTAACATCTGGAAGTACCGAACTTAGAAAGACTAGCAAAATTGGCAGTCAAAACAACATTATTATTGGCAATAGGACAGAAAATATTCTAAGAGAATTATAGAAGCCTCTTTTACAAGATAGCATTCTTCAAGTGCAGTCTCATTTCGTGCAAAGTGACTGAGCATAAAGGGTAGCCAGTGGATGGATCAAGGTGCAGACCAATACACTGGGCAATTTACATTTATTTATTTATTTATTTATTTATTTGATTTATATCCCGTCCATCTGGTCGACCACTCTGGGCAGCTTCCAATAAGGTGTATACGAAATTTAAGGCTAACCCTAATTTAGCACTGCATGCATCTGTGGGAATTCCACTGGGATTCGCCTGCCTCTTCTTACATCATCAGGAAGAAACCTTAATCGCACTTTTGCTTTAAGATATGCTTTCTGTTCAAATCCAAGAGTTTCAGTTTGAAACAAATATTAGTTTCAAAA